GGCGACGGTCAAACATAGAATGTATTTGGCAGAAGACCGATGAGGGAAGAACTGAAATGAAGCGCATTTGGTAGGAAAATGCATGAACAATGGAAATAGAGAAGGAACAGTGAAGATTGAGACAACTAGTTGTTAATTTGCAAATTAACTGTTTATTGTATGGTTATTAGAATTTACTGAAATACATTCTATTGGCGCCAGTCATGTTCTGTTCACTACAATATTTGAAAACCGTCATTTTTAATACGATAAAGTCGTTTTGTTTCGTTTTTGAGAAGGCATCAACAATAAACGCAATATAGTATTCTTAAGCATAGTTGTCTGTAGCTAAATATGTAATGGTTGTGAAATTTCTCGAAGTCATTGACATAGAAATTGTTATCAGAAGAAAGCTTTGTGGAGATTTTAGTAATTTGATAGTTGAATTCATGAGTCAATTGAAGCAAGGTCATCATGGAAAACCTGGGAGCACTAGATAGACGTTTCGTCCTAGTATGAGACTCCTGAGTAGTGTGCATCCACGACACGGCCAGTGGAGCGGTGGCGCAATTACGTGAATCGTTTGAATTTACACATCACCACCGTTAGATGCCCGCTCAGTGGTCTAGAGGTTGAGAGTTCGCTAGCGTGACCGAAAGGTCCTATGTTCTAATCCCGTGGGTAGGATCGTGGATGTGCACTGCTCAGGAGTTCTATGTTAAGACGAAACAGTCGTCCAGTGCTTCCAGGTTTCCCATAGTGGTCTAGCTTTATTTGACTCATCAATAAAAATTTTTCTCAACAATAAACTGTCCAATCTATGTATGTGACCAGTATACTTCTCTGTGTATGCAAGAATGTAAATCAGCTATTGTGCTTTTGTAAGTATGCAGTGAGACTAAATGATTATCCTAATCTTTTCGATTTTATTTACAAATGACAACTCAAACATTAATACTTGAAATATGAAAAATTGAGTAAGGCTAAATCATTACTCTCCACTTTAGGTCATATAGTTTATTGTAAAGTAATTTATGTGATTAACGTCGGGAATCATTTTTCAAGTCGTCGGATTTATTTGTCAAGCCTATTCATGAGACACGTACAAATTCTATTGACATATCGAACCCGAAACAGCTAAATGTTACAATAACAACTATTATTTGACGGACAATTAAAATACAGACTGTGTTAATCGTTACTAAACAGGTTTATATCTGATAGATCAATTAATTTTTGGGCGAATAAACTGCTAAATATGAATGAGGTCAACTTTATAAATGGTTATTGGGCTGTACTGAAGTTTAGTTTCGATATGATCATGAAAAGTTTATATCTTCTAGCTGAACAGGCTGAAAATTTGTTATTAAAGTTTAAATGTACTATTATAAATTAGATCGGTATTCATTGCATGATATGAACTTTTGAGTAATCTCGAAATGTGTATTGCTAATATTTGACCTATAATCAGTTTGACTGTAAGGAATGTTTCCTTGAGTTCTAGAGGGAAGCAGTGACCAGTGGAGTTCAACTAAGTTTGTTGTAGAGATATCAACTCACTGAAGACAATGGGTGAACGGTTGCTCAAACATCGTGGATTGGTTGAAGTTAGACATTGACACCGTTGGATGCCAACTCAGTGGTCTATTGGATAAGTGCACCGGTGAGAGACTGGTAGGTCATGGGTTTGAATCTCGTGAGGCGGGATCGTGGATGCGCATTGCTGAGGAGTCCCATAATAGGACGAGTTGACCGTCAAGCAGTGGTTCCAGGTTTTCCATGGTGATCTAGCTTCAATGGACTCATGATTTCAACTATGAATATACTGAAATATCCACAAAATACCTTCTGATTTATAATCAGTTATTTATTATTATTTTCAAATGATTATGTTGCATATTCACCAAGCATTAATGATAATTTATTTGAGTTCAGTCGATCTTGGCCAAAGAAACACATTTGTTTTAATAGCGAACTGATCTTCCTACATAAATCCCAAATTTTAGTAAAATAATGGGACATCAACTCTGGGATACAGGTAAATCCAGCTGACGAATCTCTAATAGAATGAAACGCACGTCCTGGATTCCACTTCTAGCCACTATCCATCTTTACTTTTAATGCTTGTGAATTGAGGCAGTATCGAGGCAATACGCATAGTACGCACATATACCAATAATAGACTGATCAAATGCAGTCCAAAACATCAATGGGAAGATTCAAGTGAATAATGAAAACTGACACAATCATAATACGTTGTAATAAACACTTTAAGGTCGAACAGAATTTTAATGTGCATTGACTGAATTGTATTATGTAGGAATGGAGTTCACAGGCACTGACAAAGCGTCTAATGATTATGTCGTATCATTCACCGTTAACATAATAGCATATAATAAAATAGCAGATAGTGCTTAGCGATGAGTGCTAATACAAGTTGTAATTATACGGCTGAACGTATTCTTATGTTTACATGAATGAAAAACATACATTTTAGTCTATGTTGCGTATGTGTAAGATATAAGAAATGAGTACTATCAAATGACTGTGTAGTCATTATTCACATTACGTTAAATGGATGTGACGAATGTGTTGAGAATCATGTCCAAATGATATTAACTATTACGTGTACAGACAAATCGCAATAATGTCGTCAAGTATTTAACTACGTCATACATGTGCCATTATTTGTTATTCTTAAAAATGTGATTGATGCAGTTTAATCGGTTTCGCGTATCACAGAATTTTTCATGCCGATTTCTTTCGAATACATAAGAACAATGTGAATTCGGATATCGCAAATATAAGAAAAGGAACAGAAGCAACAGTAAAAATAGCTCATGGATACGTAACATTATATGCAGTAACGGCTGAACTGTTATTGAGAATACAGAGAACGTAAATGGAATGGGAACGACAGTAATTCATTGATACAATTTGTATCGTAATTGAAAGCTTTCTCTTGGTCTCTTGGTTCGAACTGCTTAAACATTCCGACCGATCAAGATGGGATGTCGAACAGTCTGTTATCATGAGCATCTTTGTCTTCGTTGTCTCTGTCACTGGATTCTTCCGAGTGTATTGAAACACCATAATCTTCATGACTTAACGTGGCATCCTAATCAACGTTCATTAGGTAGTTGGGACTATTTGTCTTTTGGATTCCTGACATTTATTTATCCATGGAATTGAAGGCTTTGATCTGAGACTCATATGCTTCAGATAACGTCAACGGTACTTGTGGCATCTTTCTGTAAACCATGCTACTCGCGAAACTATAAACAACACTGTATTGTTACTGTGATGTATTACAAATTATGGAATATAGTCTTTTTTGGATGCTCAGCTGTATGAGTTGAACAGGCGAATAGTTATAAATAGCGACGCGGGAGGAGTTGTTAACTGAAGGCAACCACCTTACAACAACTATAAGATAGTAAGCAGAGATGGATAGTGGCTAGTAGTGGAATCCAGGACGCGCGTTTCGTCCTATTTCGAACTCGTCAGTTGGATGTACCTGCACCTCAGATGTGGTGTTCACTCTGGGACTCTAACCCAGTACCTTTCGCTTCAAACGCCATCGCGTTATCCACTCGGCCACTGAGTCCTGATAGCTTCTTGCTTGTGCGATGAGGTGAAATTTAAATTCATTTAGTATCCATCTCTGCTTATCATGCTTGTGAATTAAGGCTATATCGAGCAAATACGCACAGTATGCACATATGCCAATTAGAGACTGACCAGTTGTACTCCTAACACGTCGACGGGAAGATTAAAACAAACAATACTAAATGAATTTAAACTATGAAATAGCTTTGGAAACTACGAAAAACTGTCACGTCTGAATATTTCTTTTTACCTGAACATATTTCGAGTGAATATCAGGCGGAAGAACAGTTGAGAGACTACAGATCGCAAACCATTCATATTACAATCAAAGGTTGATCTCACTCATTTAATAAATTACGCTCTATTTGATATTGCAAATGATTTTTATGTTGTGCCTCTGATTCTTATGGAAATGAGAATCAAGAAGCACATAATCACAGTATGTCGCCCTTTCACAATTTATGATGGCACTCTTCAAAGCTCCAAGGGATTGGACAGCTACCAGATACAACGTGCTCAAGAATACGTTATCGGTATTCATGAGAACGTTCGAAACAATAAAGCTAACACTTTATAAGATTTTTACGTTCATATTTTGGCGGAAATTTGATCGATCGAGAAATGTTTATCTTATACATTACTCTTCAGAAATATGTAACCAATAATTACCATTTTGAAACTAATCATTTCATAACACGAACCGGAGAAACTTTTAAGATAAAACGAAAATATTTTTACCACAATAAAATATAAAAATAACGGTGCTGTAAATGATACTCGTTATGGTTAGTGGTAATTGATAAATTCTTAGATGTGAATATAGTTACTCAATACAACAATCATACAAGTCCGAATGATGGGCATCTAATAGTATTCTGTAATTTAAATTGGTCTTTATATATTAATATGTATAATTAAAATTTCAAGCAAACATTCTTCTCAACCAAACTGATACTTACACAAGAAATCAACCATAGGTTGCCGAAGGTAGCTACTTCGTGTGAGTATACTAATTCATCTGCTCCTCTGCAGCTAGTTACTTAGTACGCACTCAGATGGCTTTATCCTTGTGTGTTGACATTGGTAAATAGTTGCTCAATTTCGTGGATCGATTGAAGTTAGACATTAACACCGTTGGATGTCAGCTCAGTTTTTTATCGGTTAAGTGCTCACGTGCGAGACTGGTAGATCCTGGGTTCGAACCTCGCGAAACAGGATCGTGGATACACACTACTCAGGAGTCTCACAATAGGAGCAAACGGCCGTCAAGCAGTGGTTCCAGATTTTCCAAGGTGGTGTAGCTTCAATTGACTCATGATCTCAACTCAGTAAAATTACTAAAATCTCCACCAAACCCCTTCTTTATAAGATATCACATTATTTATTAAATTAAAACTGTAGAACAACTGTTTGCTCGATGATTCTTTATTTTTTGAATATTCTATAAAAATATTTAAACTATTGATTATGTCATATCTGAATATATCTGAATGATCCGAAGACAAATTTCGTCAAAATAATAAACAATTAATCAAGAATTCTACAAATAATCTGCATCACGAGGTAAGCCCTTTCTTGGACTGTTGAAGGGAAGCGGAAGAAAAGAGGGCCAAAGAACACATTACGTCGTGAGATTAAAGTAGATATGATAATGATGAATAACAACTGGAAAGAACTGGAAAGGACTGTTCAGGAGAGGGTTGAATGGAAAATACTATTGGGTGGTCTATACTCCTCAACGAGGGGTAACAGGCGTAAATAAGTAAGTAAGTAAGTAAGTAAGTAAGTAAGTAAGTAAGTAAGTAAGTAAGTAAGTAAGTAAGTCTACAAATAATCAACTGGGACATGAATTCGTGGAGATTATTCGACATTGTACATTGTTCATTATGAAAACTGTTACAATCCTTTTCGTTAATATCTTGTATATCGAATCATAATTCATCTAATATTCTTGGAATAGTTTATGAAAATGTTAAAGGAGAATGCGAGGTATTATCATTGAGAATATTTATAAATTTAAAAAATGTCTAAGTTATTTTTCACCTTTGATTTTCTTGAATAAATTGGAAACTTTGTTCTTGATATCCAGAATACCTAAGACTATTTTAGCACCAACGCTGAGTGGTTTCTGAGTAGTGATTGTTGTTTCAGTATTATCTGAAATTTGTCAAAAACCAATGACAGAATTAAGTATTATAATCAGACAAAGTTTTTGTGGAGATTTAGCATTTTCATAGTTAAAAGCGTCAGTCAATTGCAAGCTAGACCACCATGGAAAACCTGGAAGCACTGGACGGCCGAATCTCGCTAGACGAGGTCGTGGATGCGCACTGCTGAGGAGTCCCACAATAGTATTGAATTACTTATTTCTATAAACCAAGACAATTAGTTCTATCAATAGATAATCGAAAAGGTAACTATGAAATCAAATTCTAATTTCAGTCGAACAATTTGAATGGTTTTCATGACGTCTGTACATGTATTAGACTCACATTAGGAAACATATTTTGACTAATTATTGCTATATTTAAATGGAAAACAATGGCCCATAAATAGATACTTGGATTATAAGCAGAATTCATTGAAGGTTTTCCAGGCATATTTAGATCTATTTTAATAAGACAATAACTATTTTCTAACTACTTAATTTTATGAGTCTTTTTGTCAAGCTACATCACAGTAGTTTGTATAGTAAACGTTATATTGATCAAGGGAAACATTTTGCACTAAGGTAAACGGGAATAGCAAATAGCATAATCCAGAGGTTAACTACATAATATAGAGTACTTAGTTATGAGGTGCTTTTCGGTGTATCATAAGTACTGAAAGTGTATCCACAGATGACAATGGTCAGCCATCTTACAATAACTAACTAAACATCTCTCTTCAACCATTCGCAACACAAATTGAACCCCTCAGTATTTGTGATTGAGCATAGGACATATCGAAGTGTCAACTATTCAACCATAACAGGTGAAACTTGACGATCATACTGACAGATATTCAACAATGATATTCATATAGACTGTTGACTTGTATCGACATGTAAATTGTTGGAAGCCAATAACATTTCAATTCGGCATCCAACAATATTATTGACCAATTTATCCCTATATTGTGTTATGACTTATATGGCAGGAAACAGTATAAGTTGTGCAGTTGGATCAACATATTTCAAAAATAAAAAAGAAACTTGCAATTAGATGGATTTTGATAAACTTGAAAATTACACATTATTGGTTTGAAACAACACTCCAACATGAAATACTTTACCAAGATCAAATAATGTACCTGATTGATCGATCGATGTTTATGTGGTTTCCATGATCTCAACTATATAAAATTACTAAGATCTCCACATAACCCCCTTCTGATTCTTATCTATTAGCTTAAAATAGATGAGTTCCAATGATTGTTTTACAAGTATACTTCTTTGGTAATAATTAATATGTTGTGAGATAAATGATGTTGATGTATGGCGGTGTGACACTAACATTTTATTTCTACTCACGATTCATTTTTGTGAGACATAGTGTCGCTCTGTTGAAATTGCTCATCGCATATGTAGCTAGTTTTGAAATTTGCAACATACAGACTTTGTGTTTATACACTTGCCTAAATAGAATTCTGTCAGCTATTTCTTCAGTGTACGAAATGATGAAATTAAGAGATTATTGACACTGATATCATGTAAAATGCATCACAAAAATGTGACAATTAAATATGTATCAATTAGGTTTTAGATACAGTCATTTGGGATACTCATTGAGATACCTGTATTGAATTATAATTTGTAGATAACAGGTATTGAGGTATGATGGATGATAAACAAATCATTGAATATCGGTGCAAAACTCTTGATGTTCAGATGATGAATAATTATCCAACGGTAAAAAGTCACAACTCCTCGCTGAGATGAAACACAATAATTATATCATAGCAAATAATACATTCAGTATCAAACTACAGAACAATAATAGCTTGAATATCTCAAACTTAAGAAGAACTTAGAGTATATGAAAAAAATTATTTTCTATAACGTTTCAAGTAAAAAGTAACCATTGTGTCTTTCTCTAGTTTATCATGCTAATGTACTACAATTAAATAGGTATTTTAAAGTGGATACACTCACCGAATGACTTTTCTGTCCTGTTAGTCCTACAGAAAATAGAAAATATCCATTAGTGTCACTCTAAAGAACGAAACACAATAATTGTTAATTTTTGTCTAGAAAAAAATACCAGTACTTAAAGTATTAGATATAGATAAATCTTTTTCTGTGAATATGTGGAGATAGATTAAGAACTTTCCGTAGATAAGGATGAGGATTTCAGAGTTGTTTTGTTTTATGAGATGGATCATATAATCGTTTCATCTGTTGGATAGTAATAGCAGTGTGACTGATCAATAAAGTTGCAGACAAAGTCTATTGAATGTAGCGAAGACAATATAGTACCACTAGAAGTGCAAGATAGTATGAAAGTAATTACCTACAATTTGCATTACAGAAAACCAACTAGCCACTAAACTTCACCTTCAAGTGTGTATCAAATATATCATTATGTACAAAACTAACATCAGAAATCAGCTTGCGAATAATTTTATCCTATATAATTAACATAATCGAGATCACACATCCATTATTGGGGATCGTGGTGGAATTTATATGAGTTATTACTATAATTCAGAAAGCCTGTCGTATGCATAATCTTCTACGCCATTCGATCAGTAATCAGATAAGTCTTGGATAGGAACGATAATGTGTGTCTCTATTTTTCAGTTTTCTCACTGTGCATAGTCAAAAAGATACACTTGTTTCCCAAAGAATCGGTTTACAGAGTATCGAAAACTTGGAAGGAAATAAAGGGCTGCTTTCAATTCTTCACATAAAGAAATAGTGAGAAGCTTCGAGAGTTAATATTACCTTGGCGATGAACGTAAGCAGCCATACAAAGACCCCGTATGAGGACTTCACAAACAACAGACGCCGGTGGAACTGAATTCAAAATATCTAGCTTGAGATTTTTGTTATAAAATGGAATGCTTTGTGATGTAATTAGAGGTAAAATTCGCGGAGACCCTGAAAAGTATTTCATGGACACAGGTTGTTATCCGAGGTGGCAGGCATGGAAATATGAAAATCCACAGGAGTGTTTCTGGGTGTGTGAAGAGTATAAATATTGGATGGAAGTAAAAGTAAGTGATTGATCAATGATCGTCCGTGGTACTGCTTAAAGAATGTTCATATCTGTCACTTCCTGCCAAAATACGTCGTGTAGAGATAATGTTTTCTGTAGTTGCCTGGTACAAAGAATGACTTGGATGAAGCACTGACAACCTGGTAGCCTGATTACCGCTTCAAGAGAAATTGGCTTAAAGAACTATGAACACGGCCTATTGATGAGATTTTTTATCGTAGTTACGTTAGAAATCGCTCATACAAGAGGTGTATTATTTTCAAAATAGACTTTTGAAAACCTACATATCGTCGGATGAAACCAACTACAAGCATAGTGTTCATAAATATCGAACACCTGGCTACAAAGAAGCTTTGGAACAGTTTATAATTCGTATTGGTATAACATAATACCATGACATAATCATGAAAGGTTTCATTTTAACAGAATACTTACCGCCCCCCACACTTCCGCTCGCATTCGTCCTTGCTTATAAAGTTGTTTCCATTTCCAAGACATCCACCGTAATAAAATATTTCACAAGTTTGATTTACACTGTCGTAGTAGAAACGTTTCAATAGAGCTCTGCATATGCCCTCGTCGTAATCTAGAAGACAGTCCGAATTTCCTAAAACATAAATAAAATAAGTGTTTTGTTATTGGTGAGATATCTTGTTACTTTAGCTAAGTTGACAATAATTTGGGTGAAAATTTCATTTGAAACTTTGACACGCGTTAATCATCAATTAGGCTTCAATAAAAAAACTATTGTTGATCATCTGGTAATATTAAATATTACGAATATCTAGCAATTACTGCTTACAAATTCGGTAAGCTAGTTCGAAGTGTGGCCACCGATCTCAGTTCATCATCATTAGGTGTTCGGTATTTTGATATGCATTGGTTAAGGGGTTAGAATGATAGACTCTATGAGTGCTTTATGCCACTGGTCATTTGTCAAGAAGACATCCCTATGATTTTTATAAAACTGGTGTATTCTGTAAAATTTAGAGTTATGTAACCTAGTTCACTATCAGTTAGCTATTCGTTAGACTATGATTGTCTCAAACAGAGAATAACTTGTATTTAGAGTTCCCGGCCCACTAACGTTGACAGTTAAGACCGAACACTTTTTATAAAATGATTGATTGTTTTTTGGTGTTACACTATTTATTACTTGTACAGTTGAATCCTTATCAAATCTGAATAGTTCTTTGACGAAAACTGCCATATCTTCTGTAAATTTGATATATGAATTCGATCTGTCATTAGTAATTATTCGCAAGCATTTTCTAATCTTTTGGCCACACAGACTCACTCACAATAAGTGATAATTATTCACTTAAGTTCATCCAAATAAATCAATCAAGTTTTTTTCGTTTACAGAATATCTGAGCACTGGGTTGGAGAATGCTGGTCGGCGGCCTATGCTCCATTGTGAGTAACAGGCGTTAGTAAGTAAGTAAGCAAGCATTGTAGACTTGCTTAAAAACTATAATCGTTGGTGTCACATTCAAATAATAATTTAGTCAATAATAATCTGAAAGGAAATCTCAGTAAATGCATTCCACAATACCTTACCAGTCTTAAAAACTATCCATCGATCACAATATGATACATTATTACAATGTAAATACAAGTAAAACAATTCACAATAACTAACCTTTTCGATATGATGCAACACTTTGTACACATAGAAGTAGTAATGTTCCATATAAACAAAAGGAGAACATCTTTACTTACACGTTATGTTTCACCTTTATTTATATATAATTCAATAATCCGTTTGTTTACATTATGAAAAAGTTCTAAACCGAGTAGGTGTATACAATAACGATGTGATTCATGTGTATCCGATAATCAGTTTATTTGATGAACAACATTAATAAACACATACTCCTTAATAGCGTAGTGAGCACTGTCATTAATCGTAAGTATATACAAAGCTTTTTGTGAATAACGTTAAAAAAAGCTCCATTCAAATTAAACCACCTAATCCATGTTTACAAAGTATTGTTCTTTTTTTCATTTACCCCACACACATTGCACATAACCGTTTTTGTATAGGACGATTTTTGGCTGTTTCTCACTGAATATTCGGAAATGCTACCAAGAAATGTCTTGATGTCGTTACGACGATACCTTCTTTATTCGATTTAACAAATGGTAATTGTTATTATTATTAAAGATGTTAGTTGATGGTGAGAAAGCAAAAGTGATTCGAAGAAGCGTTTTGGCAAAGTAAAGAACGTTGAACAAAACCTGAACTATTGAAGTCGTTGATTCAAATCAAATCAGAGCATAAGAGATTTATTCCATGTGCAGATCATTTGCAGGATGTCCAGCGGTGTGACCATTCATTCAATGCTAAAATACAAATTCAGTCATGCTTAAACTAGACAATATTAGCAAATTGATCATAATTCAAAGTGAAGTGACAATGTAGATAGTTTTCGTTGAAGATTCTGTTTGAACTGTGTCGGGTGACGAATGAAGTAGTACTTTGTGATAGCTGTTCCAACGATATATATCATGATAAGTGTCAACTGTAGAATACTCATTGAATAAGTAAATAAATTATAACTTTCGTCACGTAATGTGAGGTTTGAAAGTGTGGAAATGAACCCCTTTCTTATGAAAAATCTCTTTATTCTAAGGACTTATCCAAGAGACTGAACTACTGATGAAGACCTAAAATAACTCAGGAAATATTGTAATCATTTTGTGAGAAGTTCCATTAAAATCATGTATATATATGCTGAAAATGATTAAAATTTTAACCAGACTGTAATAAGCTAAACAGCATATGAAGTCTAAATCGCTTTAACCTTGTTTGTTATTACCACCAGTCTATCCAACTAGGCGACTGAGATAGGCATGAAACCGAAGTTCTAAAACTATCGTTTTGTCTGAATAACGATTCTTTTATTAGGAATGTATATAAATTGTTTAAAAACTTCAACTCTTAAGGTGGATGAGGAGGTTAACGCTTCATATAATGATAACATAAAAAGTAGTTAGAGCATGTCAGATAGTATTTATTTATTATTGTTTGTTTGAATATTCTGATTGATGTTTAGGACTGCAACTGGTCAGTCTCTTATTGGCCATATGTGCATATTGCCTCAATATTGCCTTAGTTCACAAGCATTATAAACAAAGATGGATAGTGGCTAGCAGTGGAATCCAGGACGCGCGTTTCCTCCTATTTGAGACTCAGTAGCTGAGTGGATAACGCGATGGAGTTTGAAGCGTAAGGTACTGGGTTAGATTCCCAAAGTGAACATCAACTTTGAGATGCAGGTACATCCAGCTGACGAGTCCCAAATAGGACGATACGCGCGTCCTTCATTCCACTGCTAGCCACTATTCATCTTTGCTTATGTCAGATAGTAGTTGTGTCTAATGGTAACAAAGGTTTATCGACAACCGAAATGAAGACTAAGAGCAGAGAATTATGAAAGCTGTTGTGTTTAATTTAAGAACTACATATATAAGCGAATAAAATTGTCTTCACCATGCTTTATGCTATAATACAATGACATGTATATGCATATACTAAACTATTAGACCATTCAAGGCAGCTTACGAGTTATTGATAACAGTGAAATAGATTACATAAATAAACACCGTAAACAAAATGTACAAATTCATAGTCTGATAACAAGTGTACGAGTTGTGATAAGAATAACGAAGGATTGGATCAATGTTTCATAGGTTAATGATTAGAAGAATATAGACACTGAAAATATATGACATTACGTAGCAAGAAGAGTTCAGAAAATTGGACGATGAGACGTATATTTGAAAAACGCAAGGGGCCACGCGTATTTAGCATCTGTCAGGCAAGTCCTACTCACTGCATAGTCATGGCATTACTGTTGTTTACGAAATTGAGAGGACAAATAGCGAATGTCCGTCGCTTTAACCGGGCTTGTGGACACGGAAAGTTCACCAAAAGGAGTTGGAATACCCTCATTCCAAACAAATGGTGCACATGAGCTCCAGTATCCTGAGGGAACAAATGGCATATGAACCAATCGTTGGTCACCGGATACCATGGGACTGCACCTCCTTACAATGCTCCACTGCCTTGTGGATGAGATCTTTAGGTCAAAGGCTCCGCATGTGGCTCTTTAAGAAAATCACCTGCTTCAGTTTGAGTACCTGAGCAGTATCGCAGCCCTCACACAAATCAAATGAGATTTATGTGGCGCTTATATATCTCGTGCCCCTTCGTACCAATATTAATATGAAGGAAAAAGCAATACCGTGTAGATAATGAGAGAAAAAGGAGTTTCCAACTCTAATGGTAATAGTAATTATATTAATAATAATATAGGTAGTGATTATGCTGATAATGATGACGATGATCATGTTTAGTGCATATAGACGGGGTTAAGCAAAATAAGGATACACTACAACAAATAATAATTAATCAGCTAATCATAATCCATTAAATTTATTGAATTATAGAAATTAGTGATATTATTAGTTAAGTGTAAATTAATGAATAAAACAGTTAAATAAAGTAGGAAGAAAGTGATACCGGGTCATGATAGTAACAATTCAGTTTGGAGAATGGATTTGTACACAGTTAGATTGAAAATAGAAAAAAACGCCTGTTATCTCAAGAAGTGTATACATATCTGTTGAAGTATATACAGTTCACTTCAATTTATTACGTTGAAGAGAACATAAATTTATGTAACAAATTGTTACTACTTTTATAGTGTATTGTTACTTATGTTAACAGATATAAGTAGTATGTAACACTAATCGAAAGTGGAAAACTTAGCACTAGAAGGTTAAGAAGATCGAGTTGAAAAGAATATAAAGGGAAATAGAAAAGAATCGCTACTTGGAAGAATCATATAGGAAGTGGAGGACAAATGATGGAAATTACCAAATGAAGTATTCAGTGTATGGCTTTCATATTTTGCCAAGAGATTTTGTAATTCAGTATTAAACAAGAAATTGGTTGTCTCCACCCGATTTCTCTTTCACTAGGCTATTATTATTATTATCATCATCAGAAGGGGGTTTCGGGGAGATTTTAGTAATTTTATATAGTTGAGATCATGAGTCAATTGAAGCTAAATCACTATGGAAAACTTCGAAGCACTGGAAGGCCGTGTCGTCCTATTGTGATTTCAACCATGAAATTAAAGAAAAAACAGATTAACAAAGAGTATAGGAAGTATTAATAAATAAAATCTTCTATTAAAGCTGATTCGACCAAAGAAAAGATAAGGGTGTTGCAAATATCTCATGAGTACACAGGCTTTTGATGATATCCTTTACCAACCACGGAGCGAGGTGTTTCACTAGCTCGTTGGGTCACGTTCTGGTACTGAGCCCAATACAACTTTCGCCACAGGAGCAGGTGAATTCGTAGATACATATAGAAGTGGCATAACCAGGTAACTTATCTTTTATCTGAGGAATTATCATAAATCGGGTCGGGCATATAGACAGAGATTGACCGCATTAAACATTCTATTCACTGCTTTAGTCATTCTAACCCGTAGCACATTACCAGTTAAATCTCCATTGATTTGCACCTTTAGGAAGAAGGGTTTCTTACTAGCCGTTGATGTAGCTATTTCCTTGTTTGTTACATGCAAGTGTTTCTTCAGCAAACCCTGCGGATAGCCCATTTCAATCAACACACTAAGAACAAACTTTAGTTTATTGTTTACGGTGTTGTCGGTGCATATCTTCCAAGCTCTATTTGCAAGAAATCTAATTAGGTTTCTCTCCTGATAAGTGGGTAAAAAGCTCAAGCATTGTGTGTCCTGGCTTTCTGAAGAACCTTTCCTTTTACTCACTTCTACTGATAGAACCACTTACATTTCTGTTTAAAAATACATAGAAGAAATGATGTTTATCATTGAGCTCCTCTTCCCACATAGATTTGATTACCGTTAAATTATTGTTAATTAGCTGTAAAAGGATTTTGTTTTCCACTGTTCTCAACGACGACAATAAAATTATCACCAGTGTAACAGCAATAAAAGTCGATTTTATCAACAACCTATTTGAGAGGTCACTTTTATAGTTTTGTGGGAAAAAGGTCAGCGAAACTGTCGCATTGAAAATAGTTTTGTTCTCTAATATTTTTTAAAATTCACAATATAGGAATTTTTAAAATTTTAAATCAATAGGACGAAGGACGCCTCCAACCACCATCTTATCTCAACATAGTGCACGCAGTGTCGAGCCACCTAGACTAGTGGCCACATTGAAACTTGATCGATAGTATTCGATTTGCACTAAGAACGACTTGACACACATGACATTGATCACCATCCAGTGATCAATCCATTGTGAAAGTGAGAATTGCTGTTTCAAGGGTTAGGGTAGAGTAATGATGATGGTAATGATAATAATGATGATAAATATAGCCAGTGTTATTAGTTTGAATAAATACTTAATGATATCACATAGCGAATCAACATGCTTTATACCATATGTTCTGAATTTATCAGTAACAGAACTGTTTACTGAATATTAACTAGTAGTCGAAAACAATTTCGAATAACCAAATGAGTGAGACGAATATGAAGATGGAATGTAAATGAATTTAACATTCTTAATAACTATATTTTCCCCTAGGAAATACTGACCTATAGCACGTGTAATTCTTAGTATCTATGTCCATATCATTCTCATGAATGGTTATATGTATATCTGTATACTCACTAATTTATCTAATGTCTGTCTGTTTGTCTTAT